GCGCCACGGCCGCTCCTCTCGCTCTTTTCTCTTTTATTCTCGCCGACTTACAGCATCAGCGCCAAATGCGGGACTAACAAACCACTCCCTGGCGGTCGACAGAAACGAAATTCCGTTTTGTTTGTCCCTGCAGGGCCGCCTTTGATTGGGATTCGCGAGTTAATTTGAACTTATTTTGACGCGTGGTCACGTACGCGCTAATGAAGCTGGCTTTTCGGGGTCGAGTCTCTGACGTTTGCTCGTTCGATCGTTTGTTCCGATTTGCGTTTCCATACGCGCCAAATCCGAACGATGCCGCCGCCGTCGCCGCCGCCGCAGTCGCCACCGATCGAGTCCGCTTCGAACGGCCTTTCCCTCCGATAGATTTATCGTCGGAAGGGTTGCGCGAGGATCCAGACCGGAGGAGGATCGATCGATTTAAAACTCTGGGCCTTTCGAACCCCGTCAAATCTCGTTTTCCCGCGAGAGGAAACGAGCGGGGAGGGAGAATCGGTCGGTAGGCACGCTCGTAGATTAAGTCCCTTGTTTACATAAATTTGAGAAATCTATAATTAAAGCCGCGATTCGTCTTACGAGCCTTTATCTCGGCTGGAATCGAGCAATTTATATCGTTTAAATAACGCGTGAATCACTCTTCTTAAACCGGTTTTCGGACTTTGAATCTCGATGTAACGCTGACGAAACGAAAGGCGCACGAACGGAATTCGTTGCGATCGAAATCGACATGGACTCCGGAGTCAAGAAGAGTCCTCTGGTCCCGAGCTATACGTTGCGCCGCGCGGCTTCCAAAAGATCCGTTTATCACGGAATGGAATGGAACCGTAGGAATTTCGACGAATCGTATCGAGAGCGCGTTCGATGGCTCGTAACTCGCGTCCGTCTTATCGGTCGGCGTGGCCGCGGCGCGTTTCCATTCGCGCGGATTCCTCTTCGCGGGACGGCGCGGCGTTCGGTTCTTCGCGGGACCTATACTCGTATCGGAGTCTGCTTACTCGCATAGGTATACAGAGAGGAACAGTCGATTCGTCGCGAAAAGCGAAAAATGCGACGCGAAGCTAGCGAGCAAAATCTCGATGGGATCTAACGAGCAAGGAAGAAGATCTGCCGATGACTTTACATCGAGAGGGTATACTTCGCCATGATCAAGATCCAGCTACGAGAGAGAGAGAGAGAGATAGATAGAGAAGAAAAGAGAGGGGCAGATGTAAGGAGAAGAGTCGGAGAAAGAGCGAGACGGACGCAGGTGCAACCTGCAACGGTACGGGACGGACGTACGGACGTACGAACGGACGAAGGTGGGATTGAGTTATGACAGCGTTTGCTCCAGGGGGCCGGCTCTGGACCCGACGAAGCGGATATTCTTCTTATTCTTTATTTCTTCGTCTGCGGCCCCGCCGTAGAAACCGTCGGCCATGCATCACCTTCGGTTCACTTTGGTCCTGCCTCCTCTTCGGCATCGTTCCACGGCCACACCACCATCACGGCCCATCACGATCCCACCTTAGCCATCGTCCGCTTGGAAACGTTGATTCCACCCACCGCGGCAGCCTCGACTCTCCAGCCGTAGGCTTCTCCGGAGTATTTACCTTTTAACCATCTTCGTTCGATCCGTATCCGCGCGGCGAGATTCAGCTTCGACCACGCTCCACTGTTCGCCTCGTTTCGTAGTTTACCGATTTCGAGACCACGACGAACCGTTGTCCAAGTTCCCGAATCGAAGATGCGCGGATAAACGGAAGATGCGAGGAAGAACCGCGACGAGTAATAGGAAGAAAGGGGAGTACGAAAAAAGGAGGAAAGGAAAGAGGGAGAGAGAGAGAGAGAGAGAGATTTTTAAATTACGGGGATACTGGTACGGTCGAGACACGTCTGTTTCGGGACGGAGGCTAGTCTCGGTGGAAGATCGGTCGGTGACAGAGTCGAAGAAAGAGCGAGGCAAAGTCGCGCGTAAATCATTCCCGGTAATAAAGATCCACTTGTCGTGGCTCGATATTTATGAATCGCCCTCGGTTCTCCTCTGCGGCAGAAGAGAATCGGCTTTTAGCTCTCGTGGCTAGTCGGAATGAACGATCGTCCGATTTCGAGATAATCGAAGAGGTCAGGGGCGGAGGGGACTAGGCCGCGAAGGACTTGGCACGGCAGGAAAGACGTCGGCGAGGAAGGCGAGGAAGGCGAGGAAGGCGAGGAAGGCGTGGAAGACGAGGAAGGCGAGAAAGGCGAAGAGAAAACGAGCCGAGAAAGCGGAGGAAGGGGAATCGGGGTGGAGGAGGAAGAGGAGGAAGAGGAGGATGAGGAGGATGAGGAGGAGTAGGAGGAAGAGGAGGAGGAGAAGGAAGAGAAGGAGAAGCAGAAGAAGAAGTCCGAGTCGACGTTCGTTGTAGAGGCCGCAGACCGACAGACCGAGCGAAGGACCGCGAGGCCATAAATACCTCAGCGCGTTCAGCCAATTAAAACAAATCATTTTAATGCGCAACCTTTTTAATTAATGCCCGTGCTCGCTCGCTCTCATCCGCTTCCCTCCTCTCGGATAGTACACGATCGCCGCACTGGCTCCGCCATTCCCATCCCAACAACGATCGAGGCTATATTAACCTGTACGTCGCTATATCCTGCCTGACTTTACCTTCGCGAGCAAACGAACGCGAATTCTCGGCTCGTTCCGTGATCCAATCGACTCGCTTCGCCGACCGACCGACTCGTCATCCTTCGATCTTACACGTATACTTGTACCTACTAGATCCGACGAATTTTCTATCTCCGCGTTTACCTACGATTTCCCGAACCTACACGGTCATCGTCTTCGTCGTCTTCGTCGTCGTCGTCGTCGTCGTCGTCGTTGTCGAGATTTATACACGTGGTACCCCTCTGGCGCGTACCTCGATCGATCGCGAAACACCGAGACAGAGAGACGATACCGACACGACACACGGGGTCCGTGGATTCCTTTCGGGTTCGCGAGTTCTCGAAGCGGCGACGACGTATCGCCGCCGTTATTGACGAATATAACGACGATCGTACCCGGCCGCGGATTAGACTTTTAAATGACCTCGAGTCGGACCGGCGCATATTTCACGAGATGACGGTGGACGTCGCGCTAAATCATCCGGAGTGACCGCATCCGCTTACCCAATCGGACCGAGACTCTTCTTAACGGCCTCTTGTCACGCCTGCGACATTCCACCGAAACACACGCCGAGAACGCCTCCTCTCTCTCTCTCTTACTCTCTTATTCTCTCTATCTCTCCCTCTCTCTCTCTCTCTCTCTCTCTTCGCCCCGCGCCGTCTGTTTTAACCTTCTCCGTTGCTCTTTCGTCAATGTCGTTGCCGCGAGACGCGCTTTTGTCGACCACCGTATTAATATTGTTCTATCGGAATTCCAATCCCCGGGAATGGGCCGACAACACGAGATTTCCCAACGCTATAATTCACCGAGACGACGCGCGTTCCTCGTGGCCGTCTCGATGCCGAGTTCGTTGGTTCGTTCCGGTAGAAATTTTCTACTCGACGGATGAATTACCGTTCGACGCGAGTCCACGCTGACGGATTCCGAAGCGCGCCGATGCGAATTCTCGCGCGATCACGGCGGCGTTACCGTGCGAGTTTCGAAGCGGCGATTAAAGAAAGAATAGAGGATTTTCGATCGGACGAACGGACGGTGAGGCACCGGGGAATAGAAGAGGAGGCGCATGAGTGGCGAGCGAAACGAGCGAAGCGAAGCGAATAAGAAGAGTAGCGGAGCGAGAGTGGGTGCTCGGTGCACGGAGTAAACGGGTGACACGGGAACGTACTCGCAAAGACTAGCCGAGTGCAGGTGTAAGAGAAGGTACGTCCTAAGCTCGTGCGAGGGCGTGTATATCCTGACATTGTAAAAGTTGCCGTTACACTTGCGTAGCCAATTGGGTAGGCCGGGACTCCCTCTAGGACGGCCCAGATCTCGTAGCCTCTTCTGCTTCTGCCGTCTCTTCCTCTCTGTCCCTTCCGTTCTCCACTCGACCTTTCTTTCCCTTCTCTCCTTTTCTCCTTCCTTTTTCGTCCATTTTCTCCTTCGATTCCCTGTCCTTCGTCCTCGTTCGGACGGTCTGCCTCGTCCGGTCTGTTGCGCGCGGTCGCGATGCACTCTCCGCTGCCGGTATCGTCGAGCTGCCATCTCGAAAAATCCGTGTCCTTCGTTCTGCTACCGCGGTAGGTTTCCCGCACGGTGACCACGTTCGTTCCCCAAGATCTCGATACAGCACCGAGAGAGATACGTACGCGAAGATCGTGGCTACCACGTTCGGAAATTTGCTGCCGATTTCGATAACATCGATGGAGCTTTCGCTTACTTACAACTTTTATACGTCGTCGGAGGAATGCGAGGTATATTACCCGTACGATTTCGACGTCGTTTCCTCTTCTTCCTTCTCTTCCTCCTCTTCCTCCTCTTCCTCCTCTTCATCCTCTTCCGAAAACAAACGACGCTACTCCGCGGCATCGCGTCTATCCGCGCGACCAGTTTGGAAAAAGGAGAATCGGAAAGCAGCGTGGAGCAGAAAACTAGAGTAGGAACGCGTACTCGTCGAGTTGGTCGACTAACCCCGGGAGTAAGTTCAGTAACCGTATAGATCGTCACCTCTTGACGGAAACTATTTAAAGTGCAGCTCTTGTGTGCGCGCTCGCCGGCAGGTTGATATAGGATGCAACAGCTGCGATCGGATCGTACGGCGTGCGAACAGCCGATGGTCACACGCGTACCGTGCATTCGTTCGGCCATTGTGCTGTCTTATTACGCGTTGAATTTAACGAAAACGCGTCCCTTTAGGTCGCAAAATCGTTATTCTCCTCCGGCCGTCGTCCCGGCCAATCGCCGCTATTGGTATTCGAAAAATTATACGAATCTTCGGTGAAATACTTTCGACAGGATACGCGAGCAACGAGATACGAAAAGTTTCATACGAAACACGCGTGTGTGCGTGCGTGCGTGCGTGCGTGCGTGCGCTCGCGCGCGCTTCCTTTTCTTTCAGGCACGCTCTGCGGCAACACATGTTGCGACACGCGGGAAAAAAATACAAGTGCGGACTTCCGGGCTGTCCGACGGTCCTTCGAACAGCCTCCGAATTGAGATCGCACAGAAGCTTGGTGCACGACTGCACGCCGTCTAATAGACGATACAAGTGCTCGGATTGCTCGTACGCGGCAAAGACCAAGACGCAGCTGCGACGGTGAGTAAAAGATATTTCCTTTCGTTAACGTTCGACGTTAGATTCCGCATTAATTTTAATCAAGATTCCCGCTACGGAATGACGCAAACCTACGCGCGCCCGGTTCGTCGTGCTCGTGGATCGCGTATGTACGACGCGTGATCGATGTCTTTGCGGAAGTAGAGAATTAATTGCGATGGGCGTAGAGTGGTACTTTGAGCTGGAAGACGCGCCAGTTGGTACGCTTGCGCGCGTGATTCTTCGTTCGCCAGTTCGCCGCGATCAAAGAATCTCCAAGTATATACCTATCTACCTTATCTCGGCTACATCGTCGGTACGATTTATTTTATCGGAAACACTCGCGCCGTGCGTATTACCGACCTTGTAATCGAAATCGCGAGGAAACCGGAGGATCGCGGCGAGGATCGTTTTGTGAACGAATCGATTGATACGCGCGCGCTCGGTTTTGTCCGAGGGGAAGACAGGTGGTCGAACGTTAATACCTATCGGGAAATATGCGACGAGCGTGTATCGCGGATTACGAACGAAACCGAGGCGATTCGATTTAAATTAAGTCTTATTAAGGGCATTGTATCGCGGAAGACCTCTAATAAATTTCATCTCGTTTGATTCGTTGTTCTTTCCGACTCTTTCGCCGTTTTGTTCCTTTCTTCTTTCTCTTTTTCTCCTTTTTGCCGAACGAGTGATCGAAAAAGAGGGGTCACGAGGGAGAGGGAGGGGGTGGGGGGGGGTGGAGAAAGAGGCGGAAAGGTACGAGAAAAGAGACGAACCGCGAGGGTAATGGCGAGGGAGATGGAGAGGGAGATGGAGAGACGGAGAGCGTGCGACGAGGAGCAAGGGAGAAAGAAGGAAAGAGAAAGAGCCGCGAAAGCGGAAGTTGCGTGCAGCAGTCGGCCAAGTGCGGGCAACCCGTTATGATCGTCCGCATGGCGATGGTCGGCGCGATATTTCATCGCGAATTGAGTACTTACTACGTGAGTCGAACTCAACGCAGCCACAGAGTGTCACGGGCTCTCTTTCTCTCCCACCTCCGCCTTCTCTACGCTCTCTCCCACCCCTCTAAACCCTCGCCGCTAACTCTCTCGCTCACTCTCCCTCTCTCTCTCTCTCTCTCTTTCCCAACTGCTCCGTCCTCCCCTTTTCGCGTTTCTCTTTCGTTCTCTTTTTCATCGTCGTCCCGTAGTGTCACCTTTCCCTCTCCTTCTCGCGGCGAGAATCCTTTTCCGTCTCTTTCGGTTTCGCTCTGTGCGGCGGAGTAAATCACGGAGGATTTTAATTAAACGTGTCACGCATTTCGAACCTGATATACACGTAACCATGGCCAATGGCTCCCTCGTAATATCGCGCACGCATATCGCATCGTTCATAATCACCAGCCCCGATACGACGAGCAACTCTGGCCGATGGTGCCGCCGTCTTTGCTAACCTCTGCGTTCCTACGTCTACCATCTCGCATCTCCGCCCTTTCCCGCCCTTTCTCTCCCTTTCCCGCCGAACGTATCACGCTCGTACGTGTTTTGTTCCAGGCACCGCAGTCGACACGACGGACCAGAGAACGCGACGAAATCGCAAGTTCGCGCGTGTCCTTACAACGGCTGCGCTTTCAAGACGAAGCTCGCCTCTCATTTGCAACGGCACGTGCGTCTTCACACGGGCACGAAACCTTACAAGTGTCGCCATTGTAGTTACGCGAGCAACAACTTGGTAAGTCTGGAAGCGATCGCCGCGAGGAGGAGGAGGAGGAGGAGGAGGAGGAGGACGCGGGATAAGGAACGCGGTTTGCTCGGACAAGAGTGGAATCGGGCGAGACCAAGGTCGCCACGTCGAAGGAAAAGATCGGTCTTATATTGCAAACTATTGCCGGTGTAGACGGTAGGAAGCGGAGGTTGACTCGCGGTTCAATTTTTGTACCCGCGGTGACTCTGCGGCGTAAATTAAGCAAAGTACACCTTAACGTTTGGACCATGCCGCCGCCTCTGCCGCCACCGAGGCGCGATAAGATAACGAGTTAATTGTGCTCACTGGATGCCCACACACGCACGGCCCAGTCATACCGAGCGGCCGGTATGCTAATGCCCTTTGAAGCTTTAGTTAGGATGCGACTCGCATACGAGGGCTCCGTGTCTCTTTGATAGCGACATAAACTCATTCCAGTGGCTCTCAGCCTGGGATAACTCGAGCCAAGGTAATCTCGCGGCACGGAGAATCGCGAATGGTAGGTACGTCTTGCATCGGTAATGATACAGGGGCTAGGCACTTCTGAACTATACCGGCTCGTATGTAACCGTAGGAGGAAAGACGTTGCGCGGCTTCTGGGCTCGTTTTAATCCTTTCCTCTACCATTTTGTCGGCCATGATCGCGCCGGGTCTACCGATATAACGATTACCATCGGCAATCGAACGAACGATTAAATTCGTCCTCGATACGCGCGGTTGAACGATCGGGTTCGACAGTCGATAGGCCGAGATCGTAGGTATATAATGCGCCGAGCGACGAGAGACGGAAAGCGGTCTCTAGCTCTCCGACGCGGATATAAGAAACGCGCGCGAGCGGATAAGAATCGTTTTAAATTGGCCCGAAGGTAATATCGAGTTCGACGATGGCCGTTTATTCGGTGAGACTTTAATAAGGAAGAAGCGCCCGCGAGTTGCTCGCGAAGACGCTTTAACGACGAAATTCCCTTCCACGTAGCCGAGCGGCTTGCCTTGCGTCAACGAGATTACACGCGCCACCTTTCTTCCTTCCTTCCTACATCCATCCAGTTTATGATTTACCTCGGATGGTTGCACGCTTCTTTCTCTACCCCTACCTCCTATCGCTACCACCGCCGCCGCCGCCGCCGCCGCTGCTCCCTTTCCGTCTTTGTCCGCCATACCGTAGTAGCTTTTCCTTCCGTTTATTCGGAGACACCGCGTTTCGCCTTCTCTGCCGTGAAACGGCGCGTTGGCAGCCCGCGCTGGGAAAACTTACGCTTCGTTTCGTCGGGGTATAGCACCGGTCGTGCCGGTGGCGGCTCTGGTAGCGACTCGGCGGTGGTAGCGGCGGTGGTAATTCTCGAATGCAACGCTAGTTACTTTCGGATCTGCTTCGCGTTTCCCCACTCGAGTGGCCGCCACCGCCACTGCCCTGCCACTTTTTTATCTCCCCCTTCAATTTTCTTCCACCGACTAGGTGGTCCCCGCCCCGCGTAAAGTAATGGCGAGCGAAAATAATAAAGATTTAATAATTCCCGCCGATCGGCCCGTTCGGTAGGCGATCCAATGAAAACGATACGATCGATTTATTCGTCTTCCCCTGGATGAAAGTTTAGCCGAAGAAGAAGGGTCGCGTGGTTCTCTCGACAGGAACTCGGATGAACGCAACGGGATAAACGTTTACGAGAATTTATTAGCGATCGAGTAAAAAGTGGAAACGCGCGCCCATGCGATATCTCGTCGATAAAATCTTGATCTGGGTTAAAGATCTCGGCAGTTTGCGCTTATAATTTTACAATTCTCCTCGGTCAGCGGCCGAACCGTACAGAATATCCGACTTTTTACCGTATTCGATAATTTTCATACGAATATTATATATATATATACACACATATATATAGATGTATATGTACACATATAAGTGTATACACGTATGCGCGCATCTATAGGTATACACGCGAACGCGAACGTTAGGAGAACATTTACGTTGGAATTACGGCACAGTAGTCTACGGGTAGAACGAAATTAATATTATTCCAGACCGGCTGGGATGCCGAAAGGAAAAAAGACGAAGCGGCACGATTTGAAACCTTAGAACGAAGACTCGTCGTAAAACGGAATATTCTACGGATAGTAACGTATAGCGGTATATATATATATATAGTCTGGCAATGTAACAGAAAATTATATCCAAAGAAATCGGAATCGATGGGATTAATGAAAAGCGTATACGCGATTTGCGTGACGGTGCACACTTTCCGCGGTCGAAGCGTTTCGCGTAAAGGTGGACGACCGCCCATGACGGTGTGAACGGGTCTTTATCTGAGACCGTCACGGAGCGCTGGCCGTGCAGAAAGATTTACTTATGGGAAATTAAATTTGATGTTGCCGTTGCCATCAACGGCTCGTATAAGCCCGCCTGGTAGGAAGATGTTTACGACTACGGCCAGCTACTTAGCCCGAGAGGGTAAAGCGCCTTTAAATGCTCCATGGCATAGCCAATGAACGCGTCCGGTTTGCGGCAGACCGATTCTGGTCGCAGGTATTCACCGTCGACCGATACCAACGAAAGCCCGTCCCGATCGTCCGGACCGTCCGGACCGTCCGGACCGTCCGGACCCCGTCGTCGTACCCCGACATCGGCCTCCACTCCGCCACTCCATCCCGAACGTCGTCCGGAACGTCGCGTCCTGGCCACTCTGTCGCCGTATTCTCACCCACCTGTGACCACCACCTTTTCTCTCCTTCCTCTCTCCTCGCGAGTTCACGCGCCCTCGTCCTCTGCCTTCTCTTCCTCCTCGCCGTCGTTTCGCATCGCGAACCACGCGGATCTTCGGCTTGGCCCTTCCGCCCGAGCATAGTACCCGTATTCCACTCGTTCGTATTGTCGCTGTTGCAGGAGAATCTGCGGAAACACGTGCTGTCCACGAACCTGCATCCGGGCAAGACGATCTACGAGTGCGACGTTTGCCAGGGTGAGGAGGGAACGCAACCGTTTCGGACCAACTTCGCCAAAGAGCTACGCGCGCATCTGCTGGAGATGCACGGATCGGCGTTTCCGACGCCTAGCCACGCCAACGATTACGTCTTGGGGATTTTCGAGGTTCATCGAAACGCTACGACTTTCGTCGCCGAGTCGAGTTAACCGGCTCGCTATCGGCTCGCTCTCTCGGCGAAACGTTGCCTCGTAATTTCGACGAAGGACGTCTACCGGTCGGAGAAGTGAAATTTACGAAGCATGTACGTCTTAAAATCGTTGAAAGGTGACCTGCAACGGTTCGGTCGGAAGAACGGCGCAACGTCTGTCGAATATATCCTTCGGATCGACGATTGCTCGCGAGAGCCGTTCTTGAGTTATCTCCGATGCATCCAGCCACGGACATAGCGCACGGATGCGCGTTAGTCCTGGACGTTGGTGGCATCGCGGTGTTACCTCTCGTTGTTCGTGATCGTGCGAACCGGTAGGCCTGTACCACGCCAGGAAATAGTTAAGGTGATGTACGGTCACGTGGCACGGTATACGTACTTACTTTGCACGCGTATACGATCGAATCTTTATGTCTCTCGGCGAGCGCGTCGAGATATTACGAGCAATCGTTCGAGTCCACCTGTCGCCGATTCCTCCTCGTTCACACTCGTATGTACCACGGATTATCCTAGTAGCTGTAACTCGTTAACCCCCGTTCTTTTGGTCCCTGTCACCTTAACCTTACCCCGTTGCTATTTACTCGAATAAAATAAAGACGCCTACCGGCAGTGTACCGATTCGCGCGAGTAACCTTGATATCCCGATATCGCGTAACGCACCGACGAGAAGAAGGAGGCAGACGAGGTAAAAAGAGAGTCGGTGCAAGTTGCACCGTGGGGTGGTTGGTATGGGGGAGAGAGAGAGAGAGAGAGAGAGAGAGAGAGAATGGGTCGAAACGGGTCGAAACGGGACGAAACGGTCGTTGAAAAATTCATCGTGGCTGAAAGCCAGCGGCGGACCACCTCGTGGATCGTCTTACAAGACGCGTTTCCGTCTTCGAGGGTCCTGATTGTGAGAAATGCATCGTGCTGTCGCGCGAGATAGGTGTCGTAAAGTATGCGGCCCTTGAGTTCTCCCGGGCAAAAAGGACGAGAGCGAGCGGGAAAGACGAAGAGAGGAGAGGGCACGGGCGTCGTGAGCGCGAAGGATAATTTATTGACTAATTAACGAGGATGTCCTTCATTACGGGTCGAGCAGCAGTCGTGGTCGCTTGCTCTCGCTCGGAACCGGCATTATTTGGCGCCCGAATATTTACGACCGCGTCCTCCTTCTGCCCGTGGACCGGGTCCTCCGCCCCGATACCGATGCCGATGCCGATGCTGATGCCGATGCTGATGCCGATGCCGATGCTGCTCCTGCCTCTGTCCCTGCTTGAGAAACAAACCGTGAGGGAGGGGCCGGGCAGGGTGGACGGAAGGAGAAGAGGAAAGAGCGCGCGGACCCATAACGACGTGTCCCGATCTTACGGCGATTCGGGGACTTGGAATTTCCTTGCCGAGGGGGATCCTACGGCCTACTCCGACACGACCACGAAACTCGCGGGCGTTACTCTTCGGACAAAGGATCGCGCTTAAATCTTGCGAAACTCGTGCCGCTTCTCTCGCCGTGCCGCGCGAGCAAACCGATGGCCAGCGAACCAGAAGCATCACCGCGGTTTCTTCCTTCGTTCCGCTTTCGATCCGCTACCTTTCCACCCCTACGATTACCATCCTCTCTACCGATCCCGCCATTTTTTCCCTCGTCGTTACGCGTTTCGTTCACGCGAGTTCGCCAACTACGCGTACACACACGGTCGTCGTGTGTCTAGACAAAGGGCCGACGTTGCGAGTTTAAGGAAAGGAAACGGAATCCAGCGCTGCGTGCCTGTCCTTGGAACATCTTTATCGCGAGTTTATCACGGCGAACAAGGAAACCGATACGTGGAAAGAAAAAGTAACGCGAAATTAGTGTGAACTGCAAAGTGCTAAGAAGTCGCGACAGGATGGTTAGGTACACCGCTTAATGAAGATATAACGAGCCTGGCGCCCCGTGGGGTTGGCACGACGACGTCGGCACCGAGACGCCCCCCACCATCATTCCCCAACGCGTCCTCGTCGTTTCTGCAGCAGCAGCAGCAGCAGCAGCAGCAGCAGCAGCAGCAGCAGCAGCAGCGGCAGCAGAGGCAACAGCAGCAACAGCAGCACCGAGCAGCACCAGCAGCCCCTTCTCGCAACGAGTCTGCGAGCCTCGGGTTACGCCAGAACACTCGTCCTCTTTACGATCGTAGCTGGGCAGCGTGGCTCGCGAAATTCCGCGGACTTTATTCCCCTAATTACACTCGGCAACTTATGTCAGTGACAGCGAGATAGCCCCCTCGCGATGCCGCTTCACCGCGTCATTTATTTAGACAGTTAATAACGTTGAACGGTTAATGCGCTAGAAGCAATTTTATAGACGCGATAATTATCGAATGATCCGCATCCTCCTAGTCGCGCTGGTCCTCGTGGTTGTAACCGTGTGGACGTCGACGACGTCGGCCACGTCGTCACTGGTTACTACGGTTTGTCGAAGCGCGAGCGGCTTGGCCGCTATAAAAGGGAGGAAGGTTTTACCGGTGCGGAGCGGTCGTGTCACCAGCCTCGACGTCTTATCTTATCCCGAAAAAGCGCTATAAATTACGCTGTTCGAGTTCAATTTCGTAGGCAGTTCGGTTAATCGCGAGGTGATTGATCGTACCAAGGTTTATCCAGATGAATCCACGCAATACTTTCTACCGTGACAGCAGAGCTCTCGCATACGGCACTCGGCCGTCGGTTTCGGCCTCGCTTCGCTTCTCCTCTTCTTTTCCTCTGCTTCCGTCCTCCTTCCGTCACCTTTCTTCCTTTCTTTTTTCTTTCACTCCTTTTTTCCTCTTTCCTCCTTCGTCCTTTTTCCCTTCTTCCTGCATGGAAGGAACCGAGAGGACCCTTACCCATTACGATATTCGGTGTCCCGAAGTTCGCGCGGATCGTTGGCATTCTATCCCGCGGAACAGGGAACAACGAACAGCGAACAGCAAACAGCGAACAGCGAACGGCGAGAGCGGAGAATCGAGGCGGAATGGGCCGAGGGCGGACGATATATTTTCCCTCGATGGCTCGGACACGGGCTCGCGTGTCTACACGCGTGAGCTCGATGCCACGTCGCGAAGAGACAGCGGGTGTCGGCCCGTACACGCACAAGCGCCGAAACGCCATCTTAATTATCGGCTGCGATTATTTATGTCGTGTCACACCGTTGCACCAAGACTCGCGTAGCGGTTATTCCGTGTCGTCCTTTGGCCAACTCGATCACCGAACCCGCTCGTCGCGCGTTTCGGCACCCGCGCTCCATCCTAACCGATGCGCGCGCTCTTTCTTCGACCACCTCACGGCCATCGATTCTTCTCTTCTACCCGTGAAATTTCCAAACGATCGCCAGGTCGGAGAATCGCGCCAATTAATACCGTGAATCCCGTATCGCGTGGAAGGGCCAGCCGCGTGGCCTGCGAGAAGGACGCTCCCGGAGACAGAGAGATACCGCGTAGGGAAGACGACGGAGGATAGGAGGAGGCGAGTTGCCAGGACTGGAAAAGGGGACCCACGGGGATTGATGGCCACCACCTTTAATGCCGTTTGTATGTAGCGGCGCGCGTAAGCGCCTCGCCTTACAGTAATTAGCTCAACAAACGCGCCACCCTGTCCCATCAATTGCTACCCTACGCTTTCGGTTCTCTCCTCTCTCTCTCTCTCTCTCTCTCTCTCTCTCTCCCTCTCCCTCCCCTCTCTCTCTCTCTCTCTCTCTCTCTCTCTCTCCCTCTCCCTCCCCTCTCTCTCTCTGTCTCTCTCTCCCCCTTTCCATTCCAATTCTCCGCTCTCCACTCTCTTCGTCGCACTCTCTAGGACTCGCTTATACGCACGCAACTTCTGTATCTCTCTGCCCTTACCCCTGTACGGCAGAGTTTCTCTCTTTGTCGGTGCACCGGTCTTGTTCTTCCGTGCTCTCTCTCTCTTTCTCGAGCTCGACACTCTCACGTATCTTGAATTAAACATTCGATGCCTCCTGTCTTGGCGGCGTGCGCGCACCTCTTGCGTCGGGAATGCAAATGCAGAAACGTGGCTGGTTCGCGTGTGCGTATCTACACGTACGCGCGAGCACACGAGTAGACGACCGGTCAAGGGAAGGAAGGGGTGTTATCCTCGAGCGACGAATTAAAGGATACGCCGAAACCCGATTGAAAAACCACGATGCGCGCATTCGTGCGTGTATAGCAAGTTCGCGGCTCCTCGTTCCATTCCATCCTTACTCCCCACATCGACGAGTCCGACTCGTTTCGAAGGCGTCGTCATCGTCGTCGTCGTCGTCGTCTCGTATCTCGGGGATTTAACACCACGTGCCCGCGACGTCGACGACGACGAGTTGGACGACGATGAAATTTTTCGGTTGGAAATTACTGTGATTTTTTCTAACCCGTTTTTGATTGGTTCGTAGATTCGCGGATGCAACGTTTAATAATAATCATCGTGGCGTAGGGAAGGCGCGACGCGATTATCGGCGTCGCTAGGATGAAGCGCATACCGGCACGTACGTTCTGGGACGCGAGGCTGCATCGACACCACCTACGCGGTCCCTCCCCCCTTAGGAAGAGGGAGCCATATTGCGCGGTCTTGATATTTACGATTGAAACAAATCAAACGTTATCAAGCATTCCGGGACGGTGATAAAGAACACAGAGGGGACGCGGAGGCATTTGCTGCTCCCAGGGGAGATGTCATCGGAAAATCTTCCTCCCGGCGTTCCCAGTTAACGCGCCGTCATATTTGCTCTATATCGTATCGATCTTGCCCGTTCTCCGCGATTACATCTTTCACCGTACATACTCTCCCGTCGATACTCGTGAAACCATTGGCATCCTTTTAAATGAAAAGCATACCGTACGGTTAGCTTCGTCGAGTTTATTCGATCGCTGGATGGGGTAGGGGTATCGTTATCGATTGCGTCGAAATATCGGAGAACAATCGATAGATGCAGACGAGCCAAGACGCCAGGGGACGCGAGTCGCGCGAGTCCTGCCCGAAGGAATCCCCGAAACCGTCGTTGCCGGGGCCCTTATAAATCCA